ACTAGACATACAATTTAAAATGTTTTCACACAATCACACGCACACATAACACACATATATACATTAAAGCAAACATGCCACGACAAGCGAGTTTCACAGGAAAAACTAGTCAAGGCTTCAAAATGTTCTTGACAGCATTTTCAAAAGCAAGAAAAATAATCTTTAATCCCTAAAAAAAATAAATCATACATTTACAGTCTTGAAATAATAGCCATGAACTCCAAAAGGTCAATGCAGCAGTACTTTCTAAACGAGTCCGCATAAAAAGAAAAAGAAAAAAAAGGGAAGTGGTTAAATGGACAGAGAAAAAGCACAAAAGTTCTTCCCCTGCCCACGTTTCCGACCACCTGGCTACTGTTTCCCTCCCAAACCATACTTCACTGTCAGAGCGGCTTTGAGTGAAGACACAAGACAAAGCACAGGCGCTTCACTCCAAACAGCCCTGGCAAGAAAAAGAGGAGGAGAACAAGAGGGATAGACAAAGATCGAGGGAGAATAAAGCCAGCAATGGCAAGCAGCCGAACAGCAGGAGAGAGATGATTCCAGAACCGGTGAAGGATCTGTCAAACAGACGCTAATGCAACACAGCAACAAATCTTTCTTTAACACCTTCAGCATTGGCAGCATCATGCGGTTTTATCATGCTTTAACTGACTGACAGCGGTGTAGTCGACTGATTGAGATTTCCTGTAACAGATGACAGTTTGGATGAAATATCAACCAGTATCCTCTACAGCCAAACTGGATTCCCTTTTCAAGATGAGATCAAATTCAGTCAGAGAGTTAACTAAGTGTCTGCAGATGAAGTGCTGATTCAGTCGATCACACGCTTTCAGAAACAGAAATAACTCTAAACGGTGCCGATTATCATTTTAGATAACTCCATGTTAATTTCTCACGATTGGCCGGGACCAATAAGCCACATGGTGCTTGCTTCGCCTTGTGAAGCGAGATGAAGGACGAAACTATTAGGACAGACAAGGCATGACATGGATTTAATAACTTGAGCAAAATTGCTGATGCTTTGAAGTCTTCAGTTTGCCCTTCAGCCATGACCATTCCATTCATTTTCACAATCAGCACATTTTGTTTTCACAGCAAAGCAAGTATCACCAGGTGCAATTTGAAGTGCAAAAATATGGGGGAAATAACCACGCATCTGTCTTTGCATCTGAAATAAAATCTTCAACAGAAATGAGAAGTACATCATAAACCCATCTTGGGAGCTACTCAATAACATCTATCAGCTAACCCAAATCCACTTTACATGAGGCAAGCTCCTGTCTGGACACAGATGCACTGCTTCTTCTCAAAGCCCATGAATAATTCTCTATTCATGTAATACATCATTCAATACAGACGTGGTCTCTGGACCGGTCAAGGTGCAGAGGTACAACCTGCTCAAGTCTCTTAGATATATTTAAAGGACTAGTTCACCCAAAAATGACAATTTGCAGAAAATGTACTCACCCTCAGGCCATCCAAGATGTGTATGAATTTGTTTCTTCATCAGATTTGGAGAAATTCAGTATTGCATCAGTGTCTCAGCGATGGATGCTCTGCAGTGAATGGGTGCCGTCGGAATGAGAGTCCAAACAGCTGATAAAAACATCACAATAATCCACAAGTAATTCACACCACTCCAGTCCATCAGTTAACATCTTGTGAAGCCAAAAGCTGCATGTTTGTAAAAAATAAATCAATTTTTAACTTCAAACCATTGCTTCCGGCTATACGAGTCCTTCGCAAGACATTAACTGATGGACTGGAGTCTTGTGGATTATTGTGATGTTTTTATCAGCTGTTTGGACTGCCATTGCGGCACCCATTCACTGCAGAGCATCCATTGTGGTGAGCAAGTGCTGAATTTCTCCAAATTTGTTCCAATGAAGAAACAAACTCATTTGATTTATTATCTTGGATAGCCTGAGGGTATCCCCGAGGGTTTTGGGTGCACTATTCCTTTAAAAGCAAAGGAGCCGATGCTTTCAATTCATGCAATATATAGTAAAAAGCAACAAATGAAAGGGTTTTCTGAGGACAGCAATAATGCATTTCTCTCTATTAATGAAAACCCACAGATGCCATGCTGTTCTTCAAATGCCTCACACCTTCATTTAAGCTGTAAAGCATTTCATCATTCACATGTTTTAATCTGCATGTCTTATCACACATAGACATGAGCAACAGAATGCCTTTTACTCATCAAATATCAATAACTGATTTGCACAAAAGGAAAACTGAAAGGCCTAACAAATGCACTGACTCTTAAGACTCCCTAAAACACCTCAACAGAGCAGAAGAATACATGGACTTAATAATTCAATTGCAAATGCAATTAATCAAACTCATAATATTCACAAATTGAGAGCAAAGAGTGCAAATTGTCACTGTGACTCATTGCTGTTGAATGATTTTCATTATATTTTATATGAAAACACAAGGAACATGAGCCATCAAGTCATTTCAACACATTCAAACTTCTGGGTGGATGGACATGTTACTACATGCCTTATTAATTATTACAGCATTAATTAGCCATAAAACTGTCAAAATTAGTCACAAAATGGCAGGAAAAAAAACTTGTAAAGAGGTATAAGTCACCCATTATTATGAAAATGTTCTGGAAAGCAGCTTTAAATACATTGCTAATGCATAGACGGCAGTGCTTGTGCATCGCCCAGATAGACTAACCTGTCATTTGAATCAAAGGCTATAATTAAACAAAAAAAATTAAAAGAGAGCGTAGGGGATTTGCTTCTGAGATTTGAAACACAACACAAATTACAGCTTATGCGACGACCTAGAGCACTCCCATTATAATCAATGCAAGCGGCTTGTGCATTTCAGTCAAGTCAGCTTCATTGACTATAGGGTAATTTTTTTCAATTAGAGGCACTTTTAACTACCTGAATCTAGCAAAACAAAACATTTTAAAACTATTAACCTTCAAGTTAATATTAGTAGAGTGTGTGATGGTAACAAATTTGTTTCAGATTTTCACAAGTAAGCAAGCAGTCAATTATCTTCAAACTTATAATAACAATAACAAAAAAATAGATTGGTAATAGGGTTTGATAATAACACCTAATAATTCTATTCTGTATCTAATTTTCTCATTCTAACAAAGGCTATAATTAAACAAAAAAAATTAAAAGAGAGCGTAGGGGATTTGCTTCTGAGATTTGAAACACAACACAAATTACAGCTTATGCGACGACCTAGAGCACTCCCATTATAATCAATGCAAGCGGCTTGTGCATTTCAGTCAAGTCAGCTTCATTGACTATAGGGTAATTTTTTTCAATTAGAGGCACTTTTAACTACCTGAATCTAGCAAAACAAAACATTTTAAAACTATTAACCTTCAAGTTAATATTAGTAGAGTGTGTGATGGTAACAAATTTGTTTCAGATTTTACAGATTTTCACAAGTAAGCAAGCAGTCAATTATCTTCAAACTTATAATAACAATAGCAAAAAAATAGATTGGTAATAGGGTTTGATAATAACACCTAATAATTCTATTCTGTATCTAATTTTCTCATTCTAAAATGCCACACACTTTGATTGGTCGACTGGTTGTTGCTGTTGTCATGATTCCATCCACAAGCCTGGAAAACATGCTGCACTTGCCTGCTGTTTATCTGGCAAGACCTTTGCTTTATGTGGTTGTTGCTAAACATTAAAATAAAAATTTTGGGGGGGTTGCATAGAGACAATATGCAGTTCATTGTGCCTAACTCCTGATGTTTGTCTGATGCTGCAGATGGATTTATGACACAATTAAAAGTCTCAAGTTCACCTCAAAGAAAGGTATACCTGAAAGACAAAATTTTATTGGATTTGTGGTTTCTAAGGAAAAATAATCTGTTGATGAGCTTTCAGCTACTGTATATCATATGAAAAGAACATAACTTGCCTATAAAGCACAAGCAGATTTAGAAAAACTAAAAGACATCCAGTACAGAACATAAATGGCAGATAATTAAATCTGTCAGTAAGAGATACCTAGTGGCTTTTTTTTTTCATCCCAAGAGCAGTTTAATTAGTCAATGATGACACAAAGAGATCCCTTACAGATATTTACAATGGTTTCTGCAAAAAACAGCATTGTTACTGTGGTTCTTGCTAGTAAAATAAAACTGTGTGTTAACTTGTGGTTATCAGTCACCATTCTGTCATCAAATAAGATAATGAAAGCTTATTATTCTGTTTGAATGAGATCCTCTATTAGGATTTTGCAGTAACAACAATCACTGTTGTAACTGGTATTTTGGTGGAAACTACGGCTACCATGGTAAAGTTTTCTAAGGATATCATACCTTTCTTGAAAACTGAAAAATACAGAAGTGGTAAGTATCTGTGTGGTATATTATCATTCTTTAGCTAGGTATATTCTCAAGATTTAGCTAGATAGATATAATTCAATTAATTACAAAATTAATATATTAAGTATTATATATATATATATATCTTGAGAATATACCTTGTTAAAGAATGATAACTACAATGCATTTTAAGATATATTATAAGGATGATGATGATATATTTTAAGTTTTAAATAAGCATAAGATTTATCCATCTGTTTCTCAAAAAAAAAAAGAAAAAAAGGAAAAAAAAAAAAGAGGTCATATTCTCATCATCACACCTTATACTAAAATCCACTTGAATACCCGGATAAGTAATGCATTTAACAAATACAGATAAAACATAGTTTGAATAAGTTTCCTTTTTCAAGACTTTAAAAGTGGCTTCAAAGAATCATCAACTGCAAAACAGCGTTCAAAGAGGGTTTAGGTCATTATTTAGCGCGTAATGCATTGCGTGTGATTCATAAAGCTGAACCAGAGGCAAGACGAGGCGAGAGAAGTGACAGAACGCGCTGCTCATCTCCAGGCTGGAGTCGGGACAATGCACTAGTCTCAGAAACATCTCATAAAAGACCTACAGCCACCAGAACACACACACAGTCACAGCTCAAAAGAGTTGAGGACTAACCCGTGTCGAACTGGTCTGAAGCTGACGCGCTGAGGCAGGCAGCAAGGAGCAACGCTGCGATTCTCCGCGAATCCATCGCTCTTCTGTAGCAGGCTGTGAGAGATCTGAACACCTTCTCTTCCTCTCTCCTCGCAGGTGAAGTGTTTGAGTCCAGTCTGGTGCGGCGAGCAGATGAATGTCAGCAAATCTCGCTGCGCGTCTGCGTTAAGAGCGTCTCAACTTCTAGGCAGATCAGCGCTGCCCCCAGACACTCACGCACAAGACAGATAGCAGAAAAAGTAGGGATCCTATTTCAAATCATGTGACAGGAAATCGGGGCAATAGATTCAACCTGCCCCGTGCATGGGGGCATATACCTGTTGCGCGCTGTAGGCTGGCCACAAATCCAATAGCTGAGCCACAGACAACACAGAGAGTTAAGAAAATAACCCCGAAGACTTTTAAAGCGCCGTTGTTTCCACTAACAAATATGTGACTTTCTGTAGACTGTAAGTAGACAGACAGAAAGACAGACAGATAGATAGATAGATAGATAGATAGATAGACAGACAGACAGACAGACAGATAGATAGATAGACAGACAGACATATAGACAGACAGACAGACAGACAGACATATAGACAGACAGACAGACAGACAGACAGATAGATAGATAGATAGATAGATAGACTGAGACCTGTTAGAGATTTAATTCCAATATTTTTTAAAGTATACTGCTTGAAAAAATAAAATTAATATATGAAAAATAAATGACTACGAAATAAAATATTTATGGTATAGGCTATACTAAATATTATTAATAAATAAAAAATAAATAATATTGCTTGTGCATTTTAAGACTTGCTTGTGCAGTTCTTCTTCGACTTCTGATTTACTTCTGATTTAATTGCATTAAATAGTCTACTGTATAGAGTAGACTATAGAACCATTCTATATAAAACAATAGTGGAGTTAATATCAAAATGTAACATCTAATGTTAAAATGTATGCTTTTTACCGTAACTGTTTCCCTTTAAAATGCTTTGGTCAGTTCAAGAATAATTTATGCAATTTTATATTACTATAATTATTTGAAAGAATTAAAAGAGCAGTTTTATGTCTCTGTCTTATGTTTGGTCAAGATTGATATTAGATTTAGAAAGTTAGTAGTAATAAGTAATGCAAGAGAGAGAGTAATTGGTACAATAATCTACACTGATAAAGAAGTAATTACTATCATAATTAATAATTTTTTTTAGATTAACTTAACCAACAATGTTAAAGAGTTAATTTTTTTTTAATCTTTATTTATTTATTTTTACACTTTTTTATAAAAAATAAATAAATACATGAAAAAAGAAATGACTAAATTAGGACTTTATCATTCCATAGGTTCATAAGTTGGTTTTTTTATTGTTTATTATTCTTAGTTAATATTTGCCCTCTTTCTTTGTTTACATAAACGGACGGAATATAACGTGAATGTAAATTTAAACCCTGCAGCCTTCTGTGGTAAATAATGACACTGCTCACTGGAACATAAGCCTCATTTCAATGTCATACATCCCAGCCCATAAAACAAGCAGCATCACTTGTGCAGAATGTCTCTCTCTAGTGGGAGAACACATGAATGGAGGGTCCATTACCTCAGTCTCCAGAGCAGAGCATGCAGGGGACAGCAGTGACTTCACTCACCGCTGAAATTAAAACGAACTCACCCAAAACCCCAAACGGCTGGGTAAAAATAACACTCGCTGCCTGCTGCCTTTTTTAAAGTTTGAAAGGATTCGGTTGGGTATGAAAGTGACCATAACGCCGTGAATCATCAGCAGGATGGTCGGCGCACTGTAATACAGAGCTGGCTTGAAGATACCCTAATTCGTCTACAGATGGTATGTAAGGCTTGATCATGTAAACTTACAAAACCCCAAAACCCAGCATGATTAGATTGGTCTCGCGCACCAGCGAAGCTCACAATTACTATTGCTCACAGTTTACTCTGAAACATCGTTATACCAACCTAGTCACTGAGCTCACTTAAAAGACCATGTGACTCCATCAAAATTAGACGGTCGAGCCCAAACAAGTTACTCAGGTGTATTTCAGGTAGTTAGATGTGCCTTTGTCTGATGTTTGTAAGTATATGATAATTATAAGCATTCGCGAGAGAGAAGTCACACTCCCTGTTCTTATAGTAGTAAACATGATCTCATATTTTCCAATGTCAAATAATTCAGAACTTGCATTTCAGTCATTCACAAAACCACATTTATGCACTATTTCATTTCTTTTCAAGAAACTTTAAGGGTTAAAAGTTATTTTCCTTAAATCAATAAATGAATATACTATAAAATTTTATATTACATTTAATACATTTCACATGTAATTTTATATATTTATATTGTAAAACTTCAACAATAATGTGTATGATGTTTGTTTTGTGATGAGTGTGTGTGTGTGTGTGTGTATATATATATATATACATTAATAATGCAATTTAATGTTGTAAATGTGAACTATGTATGTATGCATATACAAACACACAACATATAACATATATGAATATAGCTAATTATTACTCCTAGAGATCAAATATGAGACATACAGTATTAAAATACAATGCAATACTGTATAAGCAAGATGCATGGTACGTGAATTAAAAGTGGAAAGAAGTTAAGTATTCAGTGAAATATCGGGGTTGATATTGGTTTAATATTGAACATTTAGAAGATTCAGTAGTCTGATATTTGACATGCTTCATAGTTTTGTCGTGAGATATATCTAATGCAGTCTCTCTAACTTGTCAGAACATGTTAAAAGCAGGTTACTGGTTCACTGGAAAGTCCAGGATTTTATCATTACACTTGCTGCTTTAGAGCTTGTACGGTTTACACATTTGCCAAGATCTATACAGATTTGAAGGCCTCGGCGTGTTAGGGGTGGATATCGAAACCGAGGAACCAAGCCAAGCTATCATTAGTGAGGCTGTGTCTCTCCTTGATTTCACATCTAATCTTTTTATCACTGTCAGTGCAATTATTCTCACCTCACTGTGCCTGTTTAATTTGATTTATTAAGCAAAATACACGCATACGCCCGTCTACAGCAACCATCATGCCTGCTCCTGTTAGATAGATAGATAGACAGATAGATAGATAGATAAATAGATAGATGTAAATAATTGAAATAACTTTTTTTCTGTATTAAAGTAATGAGAATTTGAGGAAAACATGCTTAATAGTTGTTTGCTTAGTACATAGAAGTTGCGTCTTCTCCCTCCAACAACAAATATATACACAGGTAATAGGTATGTATTCTTTACCCTTGGGGTTTTAAAGCCTTTGCATTCTCAAAAGAAAGATGAAAGTGGTTTTCTTAACCATTCTCACTCACACCCAGCACACACACACTCATCCATCTCCCTGTGTTTGTTTTGAGCTCTTTAATTAAAGCACAATGTCAACCCAGAGGAATGGTTTGTGTTTTAACTACCTCTCATCTTTAAGGCCTTTGAGCTACAGCCCAGCACAAGCAGAACACCCACAGCAATAACACACACCTGCTTGAGACGTTCTACATCGCACCCTCTGATCCTCCTCCTCGCTTTACAAACCTGCAAGAGGAAGAACACCTTTTCACCTGCGGCACAGAAATGAAGCCTTCGCTCAGGCCTGGTCCGATCTGAAGTCTTGCTGAAACAGCAGCCTGGAAATTTCTGTGATGAGATTCCAGTTGGCTGCAGTGTTTTGCTGCTTGTGTCAATCATGTAACGCGATTAACAGAAGCTTGAGTATTGTGTAGATGAATGAACCTGAGGTTATACACGGACCTACAGTTTGCCAGGGCTCGTTTGCGAGGCCAGAGCACAAAAACTATACTAGACTTTGGCAGTTTTGTGTGTTGAGGCTAATTACAGAGCACTGGTGTGACTGAGAAACCTCAGGGGTTTGTTGGTGGAACAATCTTTTGCTTTGGACTAATTACATTTCAAACAATGCAAAAACAACCTCTACGAGGAGTAAGAGAGAGGAAAACACCACTAAAAATGATTATACTAAACTATTATAAAATCTACACTCTACCATTCAAAAGTTTTGAGGTCATTAAGATTCATGCTTTTATTCAGCAATGCTGTATTAATCAGAAGTGAGAGTAAAGGCATTTTACAATAGATTTTTATTACAAGTAGATGCTCTTTAGACATTTCTAGTCATGAAAGTATCCTAAGCAGCTGTTAAAACGTTTTCAACATTGATGAAAATAAATGTTTCTTGAGCACCAAATCAGCACATTAGATTCATTTCTGAAGGATCATGTGACGCTGAAAACTGGAATAACGGCTGCTGAAAAATTGAACCTGCCATCACATGTATAAATTAGATTTTAAAATATATTCATATAAAATTGTATCAAATAAATGCAGCCTTGCCGAGCATAAAAGACGTATTTTTTTCTTTTCCTGACCCCAAACTTTTTCAGTGTTATTGTTTATAAAATGTTATTGAGTCAAAATCAAAGGCTTCGAGCTGATATGCGCTCCATTATGAACACCAGGTGCTGATGGCAATGGTTATAATGCAGCATTTGTAATGTATTTCAAGCATATTGCATTTTAACAATGTGCCCCTATTCTGATACTGACACTTGTAGCAGGTGCGTTTCGGTTCCAACATCCCTTTTCAGCTATGAGTTGGCATAATGAGAGTCAATGTCATCTGCTTTTGTTTGTTTGGAATAGTTCACCAAAAAAGGACAATTCCGTCAAATTCAACCTCACGTCTTTCCAAACCTGCAGGACCTTCTTTCTTCTGTGGAACACAAAGGAAGGCGTTTTGAAGGATGTTCAGGTTTCTCTATTCCATAGGAATCCAGGACTAAATAAATTATCATTTATTTTGTGTTTCTGTTTTGACACTAATTAATAGTCATTTATGATTATTTCTTTGTCAACCTTAAGAATGTGAAGGTCAATTTTACATATCGCAATTCTTAGTATGCTAATAATATAAAATATTAACAGGTATTTACACAACGCGGAGATATCAATAACAACATTATTGATAATATTTATAAATATATGAACAACAAAATCATAATTTATTATGCAAATAATTATTTTTTTTGTCTACAGTGTATGTGTTTCATTTTTGTCATCTCACAGTCAGAAAACAACTCAGGAACTAAAGTGAAATAATTATTTTATCTGATGAATATTTTATATTCTCTACTACTATGACAGATTGTTTTTCTTCTACAATATAGAGAAAGTCATATTTCTTTTTATAAGACATGCGTTTGATTAATAGCTGAGATGGAGAAGGGGGAAACCCTTTTTTTTGTTTTGTTCTCTCTCTCTTTTAACTTGCTTTTGGCAGATCAAACCTATTCAGCCCAGACCATTACGCTTAATCATCCATGCTGGGTCAAAGTCATTATCTGTAATGGCAGGGACAAAGCTCTCCCAGATTTGGGGGGATTCTGGGATGGATTTAGATTCTCCTTTAAAGAGAGAGCGGTTCCAGCCACATCAGTCGCGTAAATCAACTTTCATGTGCAAACGCTGCCCATCTTAACCAGACTCGCTGGGTTTGAATAAGACTTTCTAAGATACGGCTCCTCTTTAATGTTTTAAAATAAATCCGGGGTGACTATCAAAAAAGTTGCATGTAATAGTGAGAAACGAAAGGTCTGAGCACATCTGAGTTAAAAGTGCAACCTGTAGGGACTGAACTCAGACGGAACAATCTAAAAGCTTCTTGAAAAAACAGCGCTGTTTAAGTTGGCAGGAGGGTGCAGTTGCAAAGCTACATATTCATGGTGGTACACGAGGGATGGAAGAAATATGATAGGCCTTAATTGAATTAAGACACCAGAGATTACATGTTGTCTTCAAGCTTGGTTGGCAAAGAGAAATGAGGAGGGAAAGGAAGAAATAAAAAGAACAGCCTCCATGGTCTATGAGAATTTTTGCATGCCCCGAAACGATGAAGCTAGGAAAAAAGCAAACAAGTTGGAGACAATGTCCAAGGAAACATATTTATAATTCCATAGTTTCCATAAGCAGTGGATGGTTGTTGAGCTGGCACGTCTCTGCAGCTGCCAATTCTTGGAGCTTTACCTCAAAACGGTGGCAGATTGATGGGAACTCTAATGGTTTCCGTTGTAATGGAAAGGGGGAATACATGTGCGAGCGTGTTTTTTCCTCCGCTCACGCTTTCTGTGGTGTAGTAAAGCGAGGTGCAGGCCTTTCCTGTGGCCTCCGCAGCATGACGCTGAACGTTAAAAACAGAAGTGACTCAGGAGATGATGAAAGACATGCTGTCTGCCCACTCCAGAAGTTCTGGAAAGTTCTGGTGAGGATGTGACTGAGACAAAAGAAGAGGTCAATAGTCTACGCGTTATCTCATTTGTGAATTTTCAAGTTTAAAAGAAATCCTCAGTTCATGTACTTGTATAATTGCCTTTTGTTTCAGTGTCACTCTTTTATACGTTTGTTTTAGCAGTAGTGGGCTCTATAAGGTGGTGAGCTAAAACATTTAGGGAACGGTAAACTCAAAAAAAGAGCAATTCAAAAGAGTTCATGTTTATTTACTCTTCCTCCAAACTTTAAACATTCATGTGTATGTTCACCCAAACACTTGCACTGCAAATAAGCAAAATGCTCCTCACAATAGAGAAAAAGCAAACGCATTTTAACATAAATGTTCAAGCGTGCAAAGTTGGAGAAAAAATATTTTTCAAAATCTGCTTTCAAGAACTGAAGATACACATTACTGATCAAAAGTTTGGAGTCAGATTTTTGACTTATTTTGAAAGTCTCTTTTATGCTCACCAAGGCTGCATTTATTTGATCAAAAATAGTCAAAAGAGTAACATTGCAAAATAGTATTACAACTTAAAAGACTGTTTACTGTGTACTTTTTTTAATGGAAAAGCTAAATGATCCTTCAGAAATCATTCTCACTAATACCATATCAATGTATTATTATTATTGAAGTAAATAATTGATAAAAATAAAAACCATAAGTTAATAACAATTATTAATGAAAACAGTAGTGCTGCTTAATATTTTTGTAGGATTCCAATATATAAAAAATGTAAATGTAATTTTTTCTTTTTAACCAAAAGCTATCATTTTGTTTTAATGGACAATAAAATATAGATGAGTCACACAGACCTAAACCGAGATCAGAATAATCTTCCAAATGGATTTGGAAAAACAACAGAAATTTAAGGATAAATAACATAAATGTCATTTTAGAAGGAGTGATCCCTTGAACAATCGCACTGCAGTCTTGTAAGAAGATTTAACAGCTTCTCTCAACAATCATTATAAGCTTTCGTAAAACACTTTACTTAAAGCCTTTATGTATAATGCATTATAAAGGATTATAATTATTCATAATGTGCATTGTAATACATTATATATTTTCATAAATAATTATAACCAAATTTAAAATGCATAGTGTAACAATGAATTGATAAGTGTTATAATGTATTAACTGTGGTTACAATTATTCATGAGATTGTGCAATGCATTATAAGGTGCATGTGCATTAAAACTACTTTTATAATGCATTATACACGAGGCGGGACATAGAGGGCCTACAATAATGTACAGTATTTTAAAAATAATGTGTTTTTTGAACATTAAAGCATGTCAACATATTCTGTTACACCAAATACACAAAATAATGATCTTTAAAATAGCATCATATGACCCCTTTAAAGTAAAGAGTTACTGAAGCTTTCATAAATCCGCTGCTTTTCTCATCCTCTTAAAAGGAACTCGGGTGCATTGGACAGAACTTCCTTCTAAAGAACAATTTTACAGTAAAGCAGCTCAAGCAGAAGTTTACCAATGTGACTCTCCATCAACAGCCGGATCCTGCCCTTTCTTTCAAAGTTCAAGTAGACAAACTCAATCTAAACACAGATAAACAGTAGATTGAAATCTAAACACAAACCAGACTCAACAAATATCAATTCAGATTCATTTTGCAGACTCCATACAACAAGTTCAAAACTGCACGATACAAGCGGAGATCAGGTGAAACTCCAGAAGAGATGTTCACCCGTTACTCTACAATCAGATCGAATCCCGATCTTTCCAGCTGAGTTGATATCTGCCTGGATGAGAAGCTGATGGGTTATAAGAGTGACTAGCTGACATGAGCTTTATGAACATTTACACCTGCACAAAAGTGTCAGACAAACATAAGATGTGCTAAATCCCACAGTTTAACAGGATAAAAGGGTAATGTAATGAGAAATTTGGGCTTTGAAGGTAAACTGGCCAGAACAAATCAGAGAGATTTACCTGCATTTCACTTCAGTTACTAATCAAGTTAAATAAACGCAAGCACATTGAAAGCTTTCACAAAGAGCGCATTCATCTCATTTGAAGTCTGACTAACCCCAAATGAGCCCTGCTCCACCGCATCTCCTTCCCAACACAGACTAAGATCTGAAATTGGAACAAAGTGTGATTAAACGGTGTTATCTGTGAGGACCACCGGTGTAGAGCTCCAGGACAGTTGTGCGTTTCAGTTTTCAAGTAACTTCTGCAAACGAATGTTTGGGAAAAGACACGTTCCACATCTGCAAGTGGGATAGAGCGCTAGTTCAAATCACCTACACAGTGGAAACACTTCTCGTCAAGTGGTCCAGATCATTTTAATTGGGTTGAGCACATGCTGACCATCTATCGCTCAGAGTCATCGGGGCATGGGCCGTGCATTCCTCCTGTTTCCCGTTCTCTTCCCGCATTTGTTTTCCGAAGGAAAAGTTACTCCAGTGCAAGTGCTGTATGGAGACCTGTGGCTAGATGATGGATACGTTTTAGTGGACATTTGCCCTTGTACACTGATCCAGAGCCAGCTTCCGTTACGCCAGTGCTCTCTGTGGTATGTGCGTGTGTAAAATGAGACAAAATGAACACAGTATGAGGCTTTATTTCAAAATCAAACTGGAAGAAATGTAAATGTAGACAAAAAAGATGTTAAAAAAGACTCACACGTGAGCTGCCTTGATTGGTGCCTACTTAGGCAACTGCACTATAAACAGTATTCTAACTGTTACGGAATCTAAGAAGTCTCAGGCGGAATCTGCAAAATGGTAAAATGTGGTATTTTAGAATACAACATGCTTGTTGAAAGCATATAGAAAATGAGCAACAATTTTTAAATTCACACACACACACACAGCGCTCTCACAGGATACTAAATGTGACTGAATTCAAAAGAGACTGACATTCACATGTCTTAAACCACTCTAATAATCATAAAATGTGCAGAAATATTGGCGACAATAGCGAATTTCCAATAAGAATGAATATAATATACTGCATGCAAGTGTTAGTTGACATCTGTATATCATTTTGGTAGACCTACACAGCAAACGTGTAGCAAAAATTTAAAAAAAAAAAAAACACCCCTAGATTTATTTTTGCAATATTTAAAGGTCATATTTTTCGTATTTAAAGGTGTAAACGAAATTATTTTGAAAATATATATATATATATATATATATATATATTTGGAAAATTTTATTTCAACTTAAGTTCAGTTACTGCCTTAAATTTTTAAGTGCAATCGAATTGGCTGCGCAAATAATTTCAAATTGCATTATATTAAACTGACTAGAAAAACTGAGTTGAATCTTGTGTAACTTGAAAAATTAAGTTGATGAGTTAAAGTAATGGAAAAACATGCTGACGCAATTTAATGATTTTATATTTTTTTTACAGTGCGGTGCAACTTATATTAATTAACCATATGTTTGAAATACATTTTGGCTAGACATTGTTTTCACCGAACACAGTGCATTGTATTAACTGTGATTTTTCCTGTTTTTTTAGAAGGCGTCATAATTTTTTTTTTTTTTCAGAAGCACCTGAATAGGTTTTGGAACAGATCTGTTGTTTACTATCCTCAGGACCTGGTGGAGTCTCTCATTTGTGGTTCATAGCCAGACAACACACATCTAAAATGAACTTCAACAGCGGTATAAGTCAATGTTACAGACCAGGTGGATAATTCTAGAGGCAGCCATTAATCTGATCATCAGATTTTTTACAATATCAGTCAAGACACACACTAAACTACTGCCCACAGACAAAAATTAATGTTAAAACAAAGAATGTTAAATTAGAAACATAAGATTTAAACAAGTCTAATACTGTTAATAAACTCTTTTTACAAATGTCTAAGGATGCACACTCTGATGAACATCACAGATGTGACCCAGGCTGCTGATAGGTCACCTTGTCATCTTGTTGTTTCCTCGCTTCTCTGAAAAAACAAAAAAGAAAACATAACCGTTATTAATATGAATAATCATCAAACATCAGACTTCCAAATGCTGAAATTGCATGTTTGGGTACATACACACACACACACACACACACACACACACACACACACACACGTTTACTTAGCTATCTAAATGGGGACATTACATTGACTTCTATTGTTTTTATATAAAGATAAATATAGATTTTAGAAGCAAATCCTAACCCACACCCTAACCCTACCCCTTGCAGAAAACTTTCTGCATTTAAAAAAACAACAAAAAAAAACACTTTAATTAATTTTTATACCCGTTTTACAAAGGGAGGTTTTTGGAGGTTTTGTCAAGTTTAGCTCACTTTTGGGTATACAAATGTGACCCTGGAGCACAAAACCAGTCTTAAGTCGCTGGGTCAAAATGATCCAATTTTCTTTTATGCCAAAAATCATTAGGATATTAAGTAAAGATCATGTTCCATGGAGATATTTTGTAAATTTCCTATCATAAATATATCAAAACTTAATTTTTGATTAGTAATATGCATTGCTAAGAACTTCATTTGGACAACTTTAAAGACGATTTTCTCAATATTTAGATTTTTTTGCACCCTCAGATTCCAGATTTTCAAATAGTTGTATCTCAGCCAAATATTGTCCTATCCTAACAAAGCTCGAATCTGGACAAGATCACAAAGAGATGAAACCCACATCGAAATGAATGGTTCTGCTTCCAATTTTTATTCCATTAACAATTCTTGCAGATGTTTTGAAGAATGCTGGTAACCAACAGTTTCCATTCCCATTGACTTTCACAATATGTAACCCTGGAGCACAAAACCAGTCTTAAGTCGTTGGGGTATATTTGTAGCAATAGCCAACAATACATTGTATGGGTCAAAATTATTGATTTTTCTTTTATGCCAAAAATCATTAGGATATTAAGTAAAGATCATGTTCCATGGAGTTATTTTGTAAATTTCCTATCATAAATATATCAAAACTTAATTTTTGATTAGTAATATGCATTGCTAAGAACTTCATTTGGACAACTTTAAAGACGATTTTCTCAATATTTAGATTTTTTTGCACCCTCAGATATTGTCCTATCCTAACAAACCATACATCAATGGAAAGCTTATTTATTCAGCTTTCAGATGATGTATAAAACTCAATTAAAAAAAAATGGACCCTTATGACTGGTTTTGTGCTCCAGGGTCACACATTTGTCCTCAAAATGTGGTTAAGTAGGCACACACACACACACACACACACAGGTCTCCTCCCTTTGGCTACCCACAGGTGTACAGAAAGTCCTGGCTCTTTGGAGCTGTCCGCACCATTATGTTCAGAAACATCCTCAAGGCGTTTTCTATATGGCATTCCAAGAGCTCATTAAGACTGTCATCTTTTTCTTGCATGTATAAATCACAGCCCAAAAGACCACGGCATGAGAAGTAGTTTGAAAGCAGGTCGGTGTCTTTTATATGTGCATCTGGAGCACCCTAGCATACAGACAGACAGCTTCAAACCAAACACAAAAGGACCAAAATACAGTAATGAATCTAGCAACTAAACTTCAGGTGCTGAAGAACCGATTTATCCATTTAGAAACAATTCTTTTAGATATGAGCGATTTGTCTTTCTTACCCATGCCCAAATATTTAGCGTGAATTTGGCAGCACTATATAAACTAATTTCCATGAGCCTTCATGATTATAAGATACAGTAAATGTTCAGTGGGCAAAAGTGTTTAGCGATAACCATCTGTCCTGTACGGGCCCCGGCTCTGACTTTGATGTGTGATAGGACCAGAATGAGGAAGCGTAATAGCACATCAGAGAGTGTGTGTGTGTGCGTGTGTGTGTGTGTGTGTGTGTCTCTGTGTTAATGACTTTGCAATGGGAGGGAGAAAGGCCTGCTGAGGCCTGCTGGGAAACCCAATCGCTGGAAAGTACCAGGGTGTCTGGGTCAGGTAAGCACGTAACTCACACACACAGATGAAAGCAGGAACAAAAGAAACACAACGATGCCGACACAGATACATATGTGGCGACATAAGGACAGACATACACACACACACACACACAACCACAGTATACACATGTGTGCACAAAGAAGGAACTGAAGTGTAGTGGAAGTAACAGACAAATGGACATTTTTCCCAGAATTTTCTTTTTATCGGTGATCAAACTAAAACACTGTTGACCCATCTTTAAACCTTAACATGCCACAAAACCTGTCCCTAACCTTAACCGCATCTCACCTCAATAGCAGTAAAATTGTTTAGCAATACAACATGGATACAATAAATACATTGTACATTACTTTTTTTTCTTTCATTTTTTTTTTTTTTTACAAGCAGTAGTCAAAGGGATAGTTCACCCAAAAATGAAAATGAAAAAAGGCACCAGAAGAGAAGAAATCGTTGAATGAAGTCATTATTTTTGTTTTCTTTGCGCACAAAAAGTATTCTCGTAGCTTCGTAAAATTATGTTTGAACCACCGATGTCACATGGACTGTTTTAACGATTTCTGTACTATCTCTGGGCCTTGACCACTGTAGGACCCTTGTCGTCTATGAAGGGTCAGAAAGCTCTCGGATTTCATCAAAAATATCTTAATCTGTGTTCCCGAATGTCTTACGGGTTAAGAATGACATGACGGTGAGTAATTAATGACCGAATTTTCATTTTGGATGAACTACACCTTAAAAGACACTTAATATAAAGTATGACCTTAATATTTAATCCATCCTAAAAATAAAAAGATATTCAGACTTGCTTTCAAAGAATATATCTTAAATTACCACAAACATAGAGAGGATAATTGGTATAGAGAATGAATGGATAGATATTGCAAATTATTATTATTATTATTAATTTAAAAAAATATCAAAATGTAATAAAGTTTATGCTTAAAATAAAAAATAAATGATTTTCTAATGGGATAAAAATAAACTTCTAAGCAATTCAGCTTCTCCAGGAGATTTACCTTTTTAGAATGTTCAAATATTTGTTCTAAAAATATTAGTTTTTTTTCTCCTGTGTGTATCTATAGGATGACATTATATAGAATTATGGATTTTTCTCAAGCAATTCAGTGTACGTTTCGCGATCCTAATGGGGACACAAAAGTAATAGTAAAAGAGTGTTTTACACTGATGATGACCTCTATTGTTCTTAAATTAAACTAGTAATGGCAGCAATACAATTACCTTAACTGTAACTCTGCCCCTTACAGATTCTTTTATTTGTAGATTTTTTTCCAAGAAAATTTATTTTAGTGCATTTATTAACCTATATAATAATGATGATGGTTGGTTTAAAATGTTTTACGAATATAGCTAGCAAATAAATAAATACATACATACATAAATTAAAATGAAACAAAACAAAATAACACAAACAACAGCTCTGTTGCAGAACATATTACGTTGCCTACCTAGCATAGACACCCTTACCAACACATTATAATTCTTTCCAAGATGACTTTTCTAATTCTATCTGTAGAATGGGTTTTTATATGTGACAGTATCATGTTGTTATTTATAAAACGGAGAGTTCCGGTCCTTGATTCTGATTGGCTGAGCCACGTTCGAAACTGTTGTAAATTACTCTACAAAGTAACATACACCTTTGTTTACTTCTGTCTGTTGCTCGGCAACCACTTTGTTGCAACCACAACTGATTCTGAGGAGCTACATTGTTTGGTGGAAGAATACTGTTTTTATTAATATCATTACACTTTATTTGCGTATTTATTTGGTTTATTTTGTGAAACCTTACTACGTATAACCGTTTTATAAAAGCAATAAGCCCCGTGAAGCCGTGGTTTACAGTGAATTTATAACAGCTAAGGGGGTTTCTCCGCTTCGCGTCATACCTAACAACGCCCCTTAGCTGTTATAAATTCACTGTAAACCACGGCTTCACGGGGTTTAATGCTTTATTTAGCAACACTGCGATGTCAAACTCTATTGGAATCAATTGCGAGTTGTGAAGAGTGCTATTTTAATTCATTCGCCTATGAAGTTCACTTAGGATGCTGCCTATGTAGGGAACTCAGGTTTTGAAGCAGAGCTATTGTGTCTTGGGTGAAGAGTTTACATATTTGAATATTTATTTAAAGTGTCCTAGCATGAAGACAGAAAAACTAGAATTAGCAATGTGCCTGTGACACATATACCTGCATACAACGAGAGGCCCTGATTACTTGCCTGTATAACTACAAATATAGGGGTGTCACAGCCTTGAGTTTTATCAGTGCATTTGTAAAGGATAGGAGAGCGGCGGTACATCTCTCTCAATACAGGTGTGCACTCTCTGATTACCTTCCCCCACAGGATGAAAGAGGGATGGGTTTATGAGGGGCAGGTGAGACATATTACCCCCCATGGCTGAAACTCTAGACATGATCTAACTGACAGCTAGAGGCTTTACAACCGGGGGAAAGAGGAGAAAGGAGAGGGAAAATTACTAGAGTGGGGGGCGGAGAAGATTAGCAGAGAAGAGTCAGTTAACGTCTATTTTTTATTTTTTTGAGAATAATTATGTAATCACTATTTAAACTGACTCGACTTAAAAAACAAACAAACTTAAACACAAATATATATGCATCTCTAATAGTAAATCTCGACGAGGAGAGATAAGTGGGTAATATAAATCATGCATTTACACCAGAAAACTGTTGAATTCTATCATGTCTGGGTTTTTTTCTGTGAAGAACATATATACGAGATGTATTCGGCCTATAGGTGAGCTTTAGGAGTTCATCTTTATCATATATCAAGATTATATATGACATGAGCAAACATTTGAGTTGGAAAGTTCAAACAAAATGTGACGTGACACCTTTGCGTGACACTGTCACATAAACTACTCTCAGCAGAAAAAGCCTGTTTGACTGCAATAATTCAAATCTAGAAAATACTGACTGGCATATTTAAAGGAATAGTTAAGCCAAAAAAAGAAAACTTTACTGTATGCAACATCATGCTGTTTGAA